ATCCAAAACCATCGATTTGGCGATGAAGATTGGTGGTGGCGATGATCGGGTTTCTATTTCTTTCGATGCCGATTTCGCTTCTTGTGTCGACACTCGTCGATCTTACTCTGCTTACTTGGTTAAGTACGGCGATTCAGTGATTTCTTGGAGGGCTAAGAAGCAAAGTACGGTCTCGAGTTCGACAACGGAATCCAAGTACAGGGCTTTGTACGATGGGGTGCAAGAAGCCATTTCTATGCGATCTCTTCTGGTTTCACTCGGGCAAGACGTTTACCCGATCCCAATTTACTGCGACAATCAAGCAGCGATCGCTCTTTCCAAGAATCCTCTTTTTCAGCAACGCACAAAGCATATACATGTCAAGTATCACTTTGTGAGAGAGGCTGTTGAAAGCAATCAAGTCGAAATTCATTATATTTCAACCGTCGATAATCAAGCGGATGGTCTTACGAAATCTCTTCCGAATCCACGTCATCAAAAATTCCTTCAATATCTCAAGTTCAATCTTCAACAATTCATTGAAACTGAAAACTGAGAAGGCGGGGGGGTATTGAACTTAATAATAGTTCACTTTATCTCTTTCTCTTATTTTAAGTTATGCATTCTTTTACTTAGCAGCGCGCCGCAGTTGTTTGAAACCTAGTTGATCGTGTACAAGATCTCTCACTTTATTGTATCGGTTCTTTCTTCAATCAACTAAATTGTTTCTGATTAACAACTCACTAACCATCAACATCGTTACTCAGGTTCGTATTTCTTTCTCTTCATGTTATTGTTGTTCAAGAGTTTAACCTTCTTTGTTCTCATCGTGTTCAGGTTGGTTCTCATCGTCGCTGTTTTCTATAAGTCGTATCCTTAAGATACTAACTTATACATCTCCTCAAAGATGTGTATTAAAAGAATTGCAATCAACTAAATTGTTTCTGATTAACAACTCACTAACCATCAACATTGTTACTCAGGTTGGTTCTCATCGTCGCTGTTTTCTATAAGTCGTATCCTTAAGATACTAACTTATACATCTCCTCAAAGGTTGGTTCTCATCGTCGCTGTTTTCTATAAGTCGTATCCTTAAGATACTAACTTATACATCTCCTCAAAGCTTGTTGTTCATTAGGAACGTGTATAAATAATAATGGGAAACATACCTTCCAATTGGTCGGACTGCAAAGCTTATGAAAGCTTCGATCTACCATGGCAAGCTTCAAGAATTTCTGACTCTCGGAGTATACTCTCTCTGTCACAAGTGCAGTTTGTTCAACGATGAGCCTTTTGATCTCGACTGGAAGTTGAGATAGAGATATTTTGGCGGACTGTGATCGGGTCTTCATACTTGGTAATAGAATAATTCTACAACCAATGTCAGAAAGATGAAAGCAAGAACGGTGCTTCAAATGAGTTTGTTTGATGGCCGAGTAGCTAAAAGGAAATAAATCAGCGCCGCAAGTGTCAAATGCCCCCAAAGAAAATGAATTCCAAGGTGTACTTGTTTTAATTCGTAGTGCTTACGGATAGATATGAGGGTGTTTAGGCGCATAAAATTTTCGAAGCCACATGTTGTGCACCAGTGTCGGAAGAATTTCCAGCTATGTACTGCTTTAACATTTCCTACCAACTAAATAAGTTTGTTGCCGGCAACTGACTTTAACATTGGATGGAACTCAACAAACTACACTTGCCTACTCCGAGGTCACGCTAAGGATCGTCCTTGACCATGGTATACTATGTCTCGAGCTGAAATAAAACAATGGTGATGGAAAGGTATCATCCATGCTTTCGACAATTTCACCCTATTTCGCCTCAAGGAGTGTTAATTATTGCTATAGGCCGCTTGTTTAGGCAAAATCCACAGGCAAAGAAGCAACACTGCCACCGATACGAGACGAGTATCGGTATTCGGGGGTATCTGGATTTGATACCCCCCGATATCTTGGATTGGTATTGAATGAGAATCCCGACTGAATACATTGTATTCAAAGTCCGGGATTCCAGAGGCCGATGCGAGACAGGTGTATTTCCTGTCCTGGATTCTGAATATCAATACCATCAATCCGGTATTGTGATACCAATCCACATATCGAGGTAAGTCCATCAACCCCCCCATAAAAAAATCAATCACCAAACCAAGGAAGCTGATCAACGGGCTCGGCCTCATGGGACAATCTACGTGACCAACCAGCGATCCTCTTCATCGCCACATTGCCTCCGCCTTGGCCGACTTGGATCTGCCGACCGCTCCAACCCTTCTCTTCTCAATCTAACCCATCTATCTG